AATCAGTATGATTTTCAGGTTCTCACAACCCTACCAGTAAAAAACATTTGTGTCTCTGCCTGTTTTACGAGTATGTACTGAAACCAAATGATTAGACTACAGCAGGACTGCACATGTCGTAGATAATAGCTGAGAGCCCAAGTGATAAAATAGAGGGATAACCCTTGAAGATAAATAGGTGTTCTTGTATTTTCTTCCTGCACCCAGCAGTTTGGCCCTTGCAGCTTCAGGACCTGCCACCAGAGGGAGGACAAGGGCTTTTTAGATCCGATTTCACAGGTTGGGATAGGCGTTCTTGCCTGGGGCTGGTGGTGGAGGCAGAGGAGGGGACAGCCTCCTCCTTCATTCTCAAAGGGGCCCAGGCTCGGAATAAACCTGCCCTTCTGCCCAGAAAGTCAGTTCTATTCATGGGCATTCTCAGGCATGAAACAAAACAGCTCCCTTAAAGCCAGGGGCTTTCTGTGTATGATTTCACAACAAGGCACCTTGTAGTCCCAGCTACGCTGGAGGCTGAAGTAAGAGGATTGCTCAAGCCCAAGATTTTGAGTTTGCAGAGGTTTCTGTGAGCTATGAGGCCATGGCACCCTACCCAGGGTGAAAGAGTAAGACTCGGTCTCAGAAAAAAAAAGTGTTCTACGCTAAGGGGCAAAGTGAGTGCATAGGTGCTGAGGTAAGACTGTGTTCAAAGAATCCCAAGAAGCTGGATGTGAGGGAGTGATAAGGAGAGTTAAGGAGATGAGGTCAGGGAGGTGATGAGGGTACATCAGAGAGCCTGTGGGCCACAGAGAGGAATTCGACCTTGCCCCTGAGAGAGGAGGAGCCACAGGAGGGTTATGAACAGGGAGGGACGTGACCTGACTTGGGTGCTCACAGGCTCCTCTGGCTGCATGTGAGAGACAGACTATGAGGTCTGTGCGGAGGGGGACACAGAGACCAGCCGGGAGGCTGCTGAGATGGTCCAAGCAAGAGAGGTGAAGGCTGCACCGAGGAGGGGAGAAAAGGACAAGTTACAAATCCATTTGGAAGATGAAACTGTAGTATGTGCTAATGGATTGGCTGTGGCTGTGACAGAGAGAGGAGAGCCAAGGACAACTTGATGGCTTTAGCCCAAGCACCTGCTGCTTTTTACTGAGATGGTGGGAAGCACAGGCCAGGGCAGATGAGGGTTGTGGTGTGAGGTGTGCCCAGGTCAGACTGCCTAATGGACAGACACCCACCTGGAGGAGGAGGACAGCTGGACAGGGACATCTAGACTTGAGTGGGAAGGTCTCAGATGAACAGGCAGCACGTGAATGATGTTTAAACTCACCAGGGATTACCAGCTGTAATCCCTGCACTTGGGGAGACTGAGATAGGTAGATTGCTTGAGGTCAGGAGTTTGAGACCACCCTGAGCAAGAGTGAGACCCCCATCTCTAGTAAAAATAGAAAAACTAGGGGGGCTGAGCGAGGTGGCTCACACCTATAATCCTAGCACTTGGGAGGCCAAGGCAGGTGGATTGCCTGAACTCACAGGTTTAAGACCAGCCTGAGCCAGAGTGAGACCTTGTCTCTAAAAATAGCTGGGTGTTGTGGCAGGCGCCTGTAGTCTAAGCCTAGGAGTTGGAGGTTGCTGTGAGCTGTGATGCCACTCTACCCAGAGGTGACAGAGTTAGACTGTCTCCAAAAAAAGGAAAGGCTCAGCTCCTGAAGCTCAATGAGTAGGGCACCAGCCACATATACCTAGGCCGGAGGGTTTGAGCCCAGCCCGGGCCTGCTAAACAACAATGGCAATTCCAACCAAAAAATAGCTGGGCATTGTGTCAGGTGCTTGTAGTCCTATCTACTTTGGAGGCATGAGAATTGCTTAAGCCCAAGAGTTTGAAGTTGTTGTGACCTGTAGAGCTCACAGCACTCTACCCAGGGCGACATAGACTCTGTCTCAAAAAAGAAAAAAAAAGGCTCAGCACCTGTAGTTCAAGTGGCTAAGGCACCAGCCACATACACCAGAGGTGGCAGGTTTGAATCCAGCCTGGGCCCACCAAACAACAACTACAACCAAAAAAAAGCCGGGCGTTGTGGCAGGCGCCTGTAATCCCAGCTACTTGGGAGGCTGTGGCAAGAGAATCACTTGAGCCCAGGAGTTGGAGGTTGCTGTGAGCTGTGATGCGAAGGCACTCTACCCAGGGGGACAGCTTGAGGCTCTGTCTCAAAAAAAAAAAAAAAAGAATATTGCACTTGGAAGGTAGCAGATGACACAAGCAGCTAAATGCCCTATATAATGCTATGCCTGCCATAGGCTCTGGCTGTGGAAATGAGGGTAGAGCTCCAGCCCCAGCTCAGGGACTGAGCTGTGTGCCTTGATGTGGGGCCCCAAGGTTCACCCGGAGAAAGTGACATGGATGGCGCCTGTGGCTTAGAGGGTAGGGCTCTAGCCCCATATACCGAGTGTGGTGGATTCGAACCCAGCCCCAGCCAAACTCCAACAAAAACATAGCCGGTTGCTGTGGCGGGCACCTGTAGTCCCAGCTACTTGGGAGGCTGAGGCAAGAGAATTACCTAAGGGGTGGCGCCTGTGGCTCAAAGGCGTAGGGTGCTGGCCCCATATACTGGAGGTGGTGGGTTCAAACCTGACCCCAGCCAAAAAAAAAACTACAAAGAGAATCACCTAAGCCCAGGAGTTGGAGGTTGCTGTGATGCTATGGCACTCTACCAAGGGCGATAAAATGAGGCTGTCTCTCAAAAAAAAAAAAAAAGCCAGAGGAAATGACATCTACCTCTGTTTGCACAGATGCCCTGTCTGGGCACAGTGACATGATCATCGTTCACAGCATCCCCTATCTCCTGTGCTTAGGCAATTTTCCTACCTCAGCCTCTCAAGTAGCCAGGACAACAGACACATGCCACCACACCTGGATAATGTTTTAATTTATTTTCTTAGAGGTAGGTTTTTTTTAATGTTTTAATAATGTTTTAATTTATTTTCTTAGAGGTAGGGTTTTTTTTATTTCTTAGAGGTAGGGTTTTTTTTTTTCTCACTTTGTCACCCTGGATAGTATAGTGGTGTCATACCTCACAGAAACCTCAAACTCTTGGGTGTAAGCGATTCTCTTGCCTCAGCTTCTCAAACAGCTGGGACTACAGGTGCCTGCCACAATGCCCAGCTTTTTTTTTTTTTTAGAGACAGAGTCTCACTTTGTCATCTTCGGTAGAGTTCCGTGGAATCACAGCTCACAGCAACCTCCAGCTCTTGGGCTTAGGTGATTCTCTTGCCTCAGCCTCCCAAATAGCTGGGACTATAGGTGCCTGCCACGATGCCCGGCTATTTTCTTGTTGCAGTTTGGCTGGAGCCAGGTTTGAACCCGCCACCCTTGGTATATGGGGCCGGCGCCTTACTCATTAAGCCACAGGCACCGCCCTGCCCAGCTATTTTTTTTTAGAGATGAGGTCTCACTCTAGCTCGGGCTAGTCTCCATCCTGTGAGCTCAGGCAATCTACCTGCCTTGGACTCCCAGAGTGCTAGGATTACAGGTGTGAGCCACTACGCTCAGCCCTCTAGAGATCGTCTTGCCTCAGCCTCTCAAGCACCCAGCACAATGCCCAGCCAGTTTTTCTATTTTTGGTAGATATGGGGTCTCACTCTTGCTCAGGATGATCTCGAACTCCTGAGCTCAAGTGTTCCACCTACCTCAGCCTCCCAGAGTGCTAGGATTACAGGTGGGAGCCACTGAGCCCAGCCAAGGTAATGATCTTGCTATGTTGCCCAGGCTGGACTTGAACTCCTGGGCCTTAAGTGATCCTCCCAAAGTGCTGGAATTAAAAGCCTGAGCTCCATGTCCAACCTGTTCTGTACCTTTGTGGGGAGGGGGGATTGGTACCTTTTAATGTCTTAGAGAGATTGTCTTATAGCAGTATATACAGATCAACCTTATTCCTGTTGTTTCTGGTTTCTCTAGCAAAAATGTTATCAAAGGATAACGCATTTAGGTAGTTCTTTTGCATTCTCTTTAATAATTTGCATACACGTTGCTTACTTATGTGTGAGGGAGTCAGTTAATAGACTGAGTCAAGTACCAAAGGCAAAACCAGGATTTATAATAGAGGAGAGAGGAGAGAAGTTATAGACACTAGGAAGAGTGACAGTGACTCTTTGTATGCATGGTTTGGAATTAAGTGAATTGCTGGCAGGGAACAGAGAAGGCAGGTCGGGCAGTCTGCCCTTGAAAGAAAACCCTTTTGCTTGTTTGTTGAGTCTTTGGGAAACCTTCTAAGTTCAGCTGCGGGCCATGGTGACAGGCCATCTCTGTGTAACCTCTGCCAGTCTTCTCGGCCAGCACCTGCTTCAGCACTTACTTCAGCAGCTTTCCTCATAGGAAAATCAAAAGCTGCCCCAGCAGGGCTGTGTGTTTTAGGAAAGATGAGAGAACACAAATGTCCGTGTGGAAAAGAATATTCTCATCTGTTTAATACATAATAGAGAGTATGTGGGCCGGGCACGGTGGCTTGAACCTGTAATCCTAGCTGAAGCAGGAGGGTTGTTTGAGTTCCGGAGTTTGAGACCAGCCTGAGCAAAATTGAGACCTTATTTCTGGCTCAGCACCCGTGGCTCAAGCGGCTAAGGCGCCAGCCACATACACCTAAGGTGGCGGGTTCGAATCCCCAGCCCAGGCCCGCCAAACAACAATGATGGCTGCAACCAAAAAATGGCCGGCGCTGTGGCGGGCACCTGTAGTCCCAGCTACTTGGGAGGCTGAGGCAGGAGACTTGCTTGAGCCCAGGAGTTGGAGGTTGCTGTGAGCATGATGCCATGGCACTCTACCCAGGGGGATAGCTTGAGGCTCTGTCTCAAAAAAAAAAAAAAAAAAAGAGACCTTATTTCTACTAAAAATGGAAAAATTATTTAGGCTTGGGGGCGGGCACTTGTAGTCCTAGCTACTCAGGAGACCAAGACAAGAGGATTGCTTGAACCAGGAGCTTAACTTAAGGTTGCTGTGAGCTAGCCTAACGCCATGGCACTCTAGTTTGGGCAACAGAGTGAGACTCTATCTCAAAAAACAAAATAACAAAAAAAAGTATCTCTGTCTTAAAAGAATACAAGCTAATAAACCATCTAGGAAACAGACCATGGTAAGAACCCCACCCGCTAAATAGGAAAACGGTGTGCTTAAGAACAAGTTAGCCCTCCTGATTCATTTATTTACGTTATTGCTTGGCCAGGGCTGACACACACACTACAGGCTGGGTACTGTGAAGGATGCCACAGCTGAGGGGGCTCCATGTACAACAGAGACAATATGAATTTGTACATATATTTCAACAAATTTCTGGCAGGTAGCTGTCAAGTATCTGCTTTTAACAAAGCAACTTTCCTGAAAAATGGAAGTGAAGTGGCCTGAATTTGCAGAAAAGCGCCATATGGGTTTGGGTAGTGATGGGTCTGCCTTCACAGACATTTGAGTTTGGGCTCCTGCCTTTTTTTTTTTTTTTTTTTTTTATTTATTTATTTTTGAGACAGAGTCTCACTTTGTTGCCTTCACTAGAATGCCGTGGTGTCACATCTCACAGCAACCTCAAACTCTTGGGTGTAAGCGATTCTCTTGCCTCAGCCTCCCAAGTCCCTGGGATTACAGGCACCTCCACAACACCCAGCTAATTTTAGAGATGGGGTCTTGTTCTGGCTCAGGCTGGTCTCAAATGTGTGAGCTCAGGCAATCTACCCTCCTCAGCCTCCCAAGTGCTGGGATTACAGCTGTGAGTCACTGAACCCAGTCTGGGCCCCTGCCTTTATGCTGCCATGACTGTTAACCTTTCAGTGGCACCATCAGAATGAACAGAAGAGTTTTCAGACACACCTCACCACCTGCTTCTCCCTCCCACCCTTCTTGCCCTGTCCCAACTATCCCACTTGCTTCTCATGGCCTCAAATCCCTGTTGTGCCTTCTGGCCACTGTCTGATAGAACTAACTCCTGACTCTGTTCCCTCTAGAACGTAGACACCCTGGAGCGAGTGGCAGGGCTGGAGCCCGTGGACCTGGTGGAGGCCCATGGCACCTTCTACACGTCACACTGTGTTGGCACCAGCTGCCGACATGAGTACCCGCTGAGCTGGATGAAAGGTGAGGCTGGAGGCATCTGGCCACTCCTCAGTGCCAAAAGCTAGTCTGCAAGCACTGGCCACAGTTCTGTCCTGCTAAGCTCTTTGGCTCTTTTTATTTTTTAATTTTTTTTTATTTTTTTGGATTCTCTGTCACCCTGGGTAGAGTTCTGTGGTATTGAGCAGTCCTCTTGCCCTAGCCTCCCAAGTAGCTGGGACTATAGGTGCCTGCCACAACACCCTGCTAGTTTTCTATTTTTTTCGTAGAGATGGGGTCTCGCTCTTGCTCAGGCTGGTCTTGAACTCCTGAGCTCAAGGCATTGAAGGAATCCAATCCAGAGTGCTGGGATTACAGGCATGAGCCACCGCATCCGGTCTCTTTGGCTCTATTTATTAGATGATAGTGGCCCCTGAAGATTTGAGGGGGCGATGGCAGTTCATTGCTCACCACAACACTTCACCATTAGGTTATCACAGGCACAAGCTCCAGACCATGTTCAGCTGTACTCAAGAACTGGGCCTCAAGGGCAGTGTGGCCTATTCTGGGAGGTTAGGACTCTGTGTCCTTCTCTATCTGGCATGAACGGATGAAAGGCTCTTCCACGCAAATGCAGCTGCATTCCACTAAGGTCACTATCTGATAGAACTTTCTGAGACCAGACAAAATTAACATATTTGCACTTTTCAGAGCCATAGCCACTTGCTACAGGTAGCTGTTAAGCACTAGAGTTGTGGCTAATGCATCTGAAGAACTGAATTTCTGTTTTTTTCTAGAAACAGAGTCTCAGTATGTCACCCTCGATAGAGTGCTATGGCGTCACAGCTTACAGGAACCTCAAACTCTTGAGCTTAAGCGATTCTCTTGCCTCAGCCTCCCAAGTAGCTGAGACTACAGTCGCCCGCCACAACACCTGGCTATTTTTTGGTTGTAGTTGTCATTTGGTGGGCCAGGCTGGATTCAAAACCCACCAGCTGTAGTATATGTGGCTGGTGCCCTAGCCACTTGAGCTACAGGTGCCAAGCCAGGAACTGAATTTTAATTTTCTTTTTGAGACAGAGTCACCCTGGGTAGAGTGCCTTGGTGTCACAGCTCACAGCAACCTCCAACTCCTGGGCTTAAGCAATTCTCTTGCTTTAGCCTCCCCAGTAGCTGGGACTACAGGTGCCCACCATAAGCTATTTTTTGACTGTAGTTGTCATTGCTGTTTGGTAAGCCCTCTGAATTCTGTAGCTGCTTGAGCTACAGGTGCCAAGCCAGGAACTGAATTTTTAATTTTACTTAATGTTGATTGGACTGTAAAAGTCATGGCCAGGCATGGTGGCTCACACCTGTAATCCTAGCGCTCTGGGAAGCCAAGATGGGAGGATCACCTAACCTTAGAAGTTTAAGACCAGCCTGAGCAAGAGCAAGATCTCATTTCAAAAATAAGTAAATAAATAAATACATTGTAAAAGTCAAGCTGGGCATAGTGGCACATGCCTGTAGTCCCAGCTACTCAGGAAGCTGAGGCTGGAGCCTGAGGCAGAAGGATGGCTTGAGCTCAGAAGTTTGAGTCTACAGCAAGGAACTATGATGACACTACTACACCCCACCCTAGGCAATAGAGTGAGACCCTGTCACAAAAAAGAAAAAAAAATTGTACAAGTCACATACAGCTTTGATGACCACATTAGATAGCATAGTCAGAACCCATGGAGTATGACAGACACAGGCCAGGTTGGGGTGAACCTGGTGGCTGCCCCTAGGCATACAGACTATGGCGCTTGCTACAGACTCACTGTTCATGTAAGGACAGAGCACCCAGAAAAAAAAAAAAATCAACCAACCATGGATCCTAAATGCCTGGGAGAGCCTATTACTGACATCCATTGTGCAGATTAAGAAGCCACTTACCCATGGAAAGCCAATTCGGACATTCTTTATGCTGAGTTAACAAAGCCTCTGGTGTCCACGTGAGATAAGCGCGGCTGACACATTTGTACTAGGGCCTCTGCAGTGTGGCTTTTTTGATAAAATGCCAGCTGAGACCCCTGGGTTAAGGATTTCTAAATAGCCCCACTGCATACAGTGGGGAACAGGGTACAATTCACATCACTCCATTACATCTCCTTTACAGCAGTGTCACATGCATCACTCACAGATATTGTGCTATCCATACGAAATACCTTAAAGTAAATTGCAGACATTAATACAATACTCTGTAGGCTTGGTGCCCAAAGCCCAGTGGTTATGGTGCCAGCCACTTACACCAAGGCTGGTGGGTTTGAACCCAGCCTGGGCCAGCTAAACAACAATGACAAATGCAACAAAAAATAGCCAGGCATTGTTGCACGTGCCTGTAGTCCCAGCTACTTGGGAGGCTGAGGAAAGAGAATCGCTTGAGCCCAAGAATTTGAGGTTGCTGTGGGCTGTAATGGCACAGCACTCTACCAAGGGTGACATAGTGAGACTCTGTCCAAAAAAACAAAAACAATACTCTGTAACTATTTGTTGAATGAATGAATGAATGATTGAATGAAGCAGAATTCTGTGGGGTGGGTGGTGCCCTAGCTCAGTGGGTAGGGCATTGGTCACAGGCACTGGGCTGGTGGGTTTGAACCCAGACCAGGCCTGCTAAAACAAAAAAATAGCTGGGCGCTGTGGTGAGCATCTGTAATCCCAGCTACTCAAGACTTAAGTAACACTGTCTCAAGTTAAAAAAAAAAAAATGCAGCTTGGCACCTGTGGCTAAGGCGCCAGCAACAGCTAAGGCGCCAGCTACATACACCCTGAGCTGGTGGGTTGGAATCCAGCCCGGGCTGCCAAACAACAACAGCTGCAACCAAAAAATAGCCAGGCATTGTGGCAGGCGCCTGTAGTCCCAGCTACTTGGGAGGTTGAGGCAGGAGAATTGCTTGAGGCCAGGAGTTGGAGATTGCTGAGAGCTGTGATGCTACAGCACTCTACCCAGGGTGACAGCTTGAGGCTCTGTCTCAAAAAAAAGGATCAGCACCTATAGCTCATTGAGTAGGGCACCAGCCACATGCACCAAGGCTGGCAGGTTCCAGCCAACTAAACCACAATAACAACTACACAAGAAAATAGCTGGGCACTGTGGCGGGTGCCTGTGGTCCCAGCTACTTGGGAGGCTGAGGCAAGAGTATCGCTTAAGCCCAAGAGTTTGAGGTTGCTGTGAGCTGTGATGCCACAACAGTCTAATGAGGAGGGCAACATAGTGAAACTCTTATCTCAAAAGAAAGAATTCTGGAGTGGAACTATGGCTCAAAGGAGTAAGGTGCCAGCCCCGGCCAAAAACTGCAAAAAAAGAAAGAATTCTGTGAGTTGCACGTGACAGAAATGCTTTCAATCTTCCTAAATCCCTACGCATTAAAAGGATGATTGTCATAAGATGGTGTATGTTCAAGATCTAGGAGGGGGTCTGTCACAGAAATCGCTTGAGCCCAAGAGTTTGAGGTTGCTCTGAGCTATAACACCATGGCACTCTACCAAGAGTAACAAAGTGAGACTCTTGTCTCAAAAAAAAAAAAAAACCAGAGGGAAGTCGTTTCTGAGCAGGGCGGACACCCAGGAGATTTTCCAGGGACTGAGGTGTGTATATGTTGACAAGGGAAGAAGGGGCATGGGGGTGAGGCCGCTGTCCCCAGCCTGGGACCTCTCACAGCCTTCTCTCTCTCTCCCTTCCCCACACTCAGAGAAGATCTTCAGTGAGGTGACTCCCAAGTGTGAGAAATGTCAGAGCGTGGTGAAGCCTGGTGAGCCTTGAGGCCGGGAACCTGTGAGCGTGGGTCTGGGTGGGAGCCAACCCCTCCCCCCACTGACCCTTTCCCAAAGGCCAGGCTTCCACCCAACCTCTGGCTACCTCTATCTCCCGCCCTGGGCCAGTCCCCACCGTTCCTGACTCCCTCAGCTCTGCTCTAGTCCTGCCAGTTCTCTCTGTCTCCCTATGTCACTGTCCCATTCTGTCTCTGTGTCTGTCCATCTGTCTCCACCTCAGACATCGTATTTTTCGGCGAGAATCTCCCAGCGCGTTTCTTCTCCTGCATGCAGTCAGTAAGTGCCAGAAGAGGGGAGGGCAGCCCGGGGCAGGGCCGGGGAAGGTGGCTTGCTCTAGGCAGAGGGTCCCTGAGCCCTCACCGGCACTGCCCCCACAGGACTTCCAGAAGGCGGACCTCCTCATCATCATGGGCACCTCCCTGCAGGTGCAGCCCTTTGCATCCCTCATCAGCAAGTAGGTCGGGTAGGGGCTGTAGGGTGGCTGGGGACTGGGGGAGCCAGGAAGGGCCAGCCCTGCCCACTCAGCTGGCTGTCCCCCCAGGGCACCTCTCTCTACCCCACGCCTACTCATCAACAAGGAAAAGGCCGGCCAGGTGAGTGAGCGCCATTCATCCCTCAGCCCTCCCATGGGCTTCTTTGGGAACTAGAGGACAGGCCTTGGAGAGTGTCCCTACTGGAGATGCCAGTGCTTTGGACTTCTCAGCTCAGACTCAGGGATTCTAGAATCCAGAAGGGTCAGTCTAGGCTGCCCCTGACTGTCCAGTCTGGGTCATTCAGGACCCTTTTGAGCAAGTGACAGACTTCTAGCTCAAACCAGCCAAAGCCAACAAAGTCATGTGCTTCCAGGGATGGAGGGGTCAGAGCCAGTCAGACTGAGGCATGCCCATCAGGGGTCTGCCCTCTCCCTCTCTCAGTTCTTTTTCCTGGGGAACACCTGCTGGGGAGAATGTCCTCTTGGGGAGGGGTGTTCCCCTAGAAGGGAAACAGGAATGGATGCCAGACAGGCAGAAACAGCACGGGCCAGGCACTGTCCCAAGCATTTCCATGTATTAACTGACCAACACCACAGCCCTATGTGGGGAGAGGGTCCCTGATTAGCCCCATTCTGCAGATAGGGAAACCAAGGCACAGAGAGACCAAGTCATTTGACCAAAGTCACAAAGCTGGGATACAAAGCCAGGTCACCTGGGTCTGTGCTCCTAGCTCTCTCCCCCCACCCAACCACTCGCCTTTCCCACAGAGGGATCCTTTCCTAGGAATGATGATGGGCCTGGGAGGAACCATGGATTTTGACTCTGAGAAGGCCTACAGGTGAGGCCTGGGCCTGGGGCAAGGGTACATTCTGGAAGGGACAAGGCCAAGGGGGGAGGGAGGCAGGGCACACAGGCAGACTGATCACCAAAAGCTGGCCACAGCTCCAGATAAGCCTGGGAGCTCTGACTATCATGCTGCACTGCAGGGACGTGGCCTGGCTGGGTGACTGTGACCAGGGCTGCCTGGCCCTTGCTGACCTCCTTGGATGGAAGGTGAGGAGCTGGGGACCCCCCGCCTATTCTAAGCACAGTCCCTGTATCCCACCTCTGCCCCTTGGGTCCTCTGATCCCATGATGCACAGTGACCTCTGACTTCTGTGAGCTTTGCCCCCACAGAAGGAGCTGGAAGACCTTATTCAGAAGGAGCATGCCAGAATAGATGCCCAGCTGGGGTCAGAAGCCGCCAACCCCACCACTTCAACTTCCCCCAGAAAGTCTCCACCACCTGCCAAGGAGGCGACCAGGACTACCATAGAAGGAGAGAAACCCAAGTGACAACTGCACCCCCCAGGAAGGACACCCCATTCCTCGGGGATAGCCGAGTCCCAACCAACCCTGGGTCTCCTCTAACCTGTAGCTCTTGTCTGGGGCGCTCAGAATATCCCCCAATCTGTTAACCAGTTCTTCCCAAAACTAGAGTCCCCGCTGCCCCCCACCCAACTTTAGCCTGTCTCTAACTTCTCCTAGAGGCCAAAGCTAACAGCCACAGTCTGTAACCACCTCAGGGGTAAAGGGAAACCTCCCTAATTTCTAACTGTCCCCAGGGGCCAGTAGCACCCCAAAACTTCTAACTATCCCAGGATAGGGAGCTTAGTGCCCCCACTCTCTACTGCTCCGCTCCCAGGGCCAATGGCCAAACAGATCAAAGCTAACCTACCCAGGTGGGTGTGTGGGCCCTCCAAACAACTCTCACCTAGTAGGGTGGGACAGGTCTGAGCCTGAAGGGTTCCCTAGTCTTTCTCTTCAACTTCCAAAGTGGGTGCTGAGCCCCTTTCACTTGGGACCCACTTCCCATGTCAGGAGGCCAGAAGACATGGCTTAATGGAGACAAATTAAAAGCAAAAACAACTAACTGTCTGGGTCCTGTTCCTTTCTGTAGGCAGCCAGGGGAGCGGCTGGAGGGAGGGGGTTAGGTCTTGGGCCAGTAAGGAAAGCAAACCATTTCCAGGCTTTTAGGAGAAACACTGGGAAGGGTGATAAAAGGGGCCCGTGGCTCTGCACCCTGAACTCCCAGCCTGCCATGGTCCCTCCCTCCAAAGCTGAGTCAGTTAAGGCCTGAGCCCCCAGAAACAGAGAGGAAGGTTGACTACAAATACCCTCAGCCCCGCCTCTTCCCCCTGCCTGCTCAGCTTCCTCTCTATGAAGAACACTTTCACTTCCTGCTACTCCAGGCCTCCCTCGAGAACAGGTAGGGCCCCCAGGGACTGAGCATCTGGCATCCTCCCCACCCCCAGTATCCCCTTGGGTATCAGGCAGCTGCCCCCATCTAGACCTTCCCAGCACCACCTATATCCTTCTCATCCTCCCTGAGGACCTAGGCAGGCCTCTCCCTCCCTCCCCATGTCCCCTCCTTCCTCCTCTCCCCGACCCTGCTCACCCCTCCATGAGGCACCTGCCCCTGCCTTCCGCCTTCCTAACACCCTGAGGTTCTAGTCATTAGGCTGATCTACTTCTTTAGCTGCTTATTACCTGCCTGCGTCACCCACCCAAACAAGAATGGGAGGCTCTGAGGGCAGAAGCCCAAGCTGCCCACCACCCTCTCCCCAGGACCCCACGTGATAACCTACTGTAGGACTCTGTACCTGGCCAGAATTGGGGTCTGATGGATGGATACACAGATAGATAGATAGATGTGCCATACAGCAAGAGTAAAATGTTCATGGTAGAATCCAGGTAGTGGGCATATGGAAGTCCCCTGTATAATTCTTCAAGCTTTTCTGTGTATCTAAAAATTTTCATAATAAAATGTTGGAGGAAAGACTTCAAGGCCTCCTCCTTGGTGTGGGAAGACAAAGAGGGCATATTGTATTACATTTGGCAAATGTATGGAGCCCAGTGGCTCAATCCTGTAATTCCTGTAAGGAGGCCTGGGTGGGAGAATTGCTTGAGGCCAGGAGTTCAAGACCATGCTGAGCAACATAGTGAGACCCTGCCTCTATAAAATACATATACAGAGCTGGGTGCAGTGGCTCACGCCTGTAATCCTAGCAGTCTGGGAGGCTGAGGCAGGTGGATTGTTGAGCTCACAGGTTTGAGAACAGCCTAAGCAAAAAGCAAGACCCCATCTATTTACTAAAAATAGAAAAATCGAGGCAAGAGGATCACTTGAACCCAAGAGTTGGCAATTGCTATGAGCTATGATGCCACAGCACTTTACCCAAGACAATAGCTATATACTCTGTCTCAAAAACATAAATAAAAATGGTCAGGCGCAGTGGCTCACAACAGTAATCCTAGCACTCTGGGAGGCTGAGGTGGGTGGATTGCTCTGAGCACGAAGGTTTGAGACCAGTCTGAACAAGAGCGAGACTCCACCTCTAACAATAGTTGGGCATTGTGGCTAGTAGTCTCAGCTATTTGGGAAGCTAAGGCAAGAGCACTTGAGCCCAAGAGTTTGAGGTTGCTGTGAGCTATGATGCCACTGCGCTCTAATTAGGGGACAAAATGAGAGTCTGTCTCAAAAAAAAAAAAGCAAATATATATATATATATACATATATATATATGGGAGAAAGAGAATGGTCTAGAACTTTTTCAGGCAATGGGTTTTGGCAAGAGCTGCTATTCAGCTGGCTCACATTCACATGGCTTCACTGGTTGCTAAAATTGTGAAATATTGGCTTGGCGCCTGTGGCTCAAGCGGCTAAGGCACCAGCCACGTACACCTAAGGTGGTGGGTTCGAATCCCCAGCCCGGGCCCGCCAACCAAAAAAAAAAAAAATGGCCGGGCGTTGTGGCAGGCGCCTGTGGTCCCAGCTACTTGGGAGGCTGAGGCAGGATACTCGCTTGAGCCCAGGAGTTGGAGGTTGCTGTGAGCTGTGATGCCATGGCACTCTACCCAGGGGGATAGCTTGAGGCTCTGTCTCAAAAAAAAAAAATTTGTGAAATATTCCCTACCACCTGGCAAATATCTCTTGTTTTGGGTCCTCCCGCTACTCAAGACACCCTGGCCTCTCTCTTGGGAGCCCCAGATATCCCCACAATTTAGGACTAAAGAGCTAACCCCTGGGACAGCAAGGAGCTCCGTTATGATTGGTCAGGGTCTCTGCCATATGGGTTGTAAATATTCCAAATATTACATGCATGGTGGAACAGCTGAGAGTCTTCTCTTCTTCCCTGCCAGAAGCCAGACCATGGCTGCCTGGCTTCCCGCCTCCTGAGGATGGCCCAGCCAGAAGACAAGGCCTCTGCAGACCCCTCCAAGGAGGAGAGGTGAGGGTACTGGAGTGAGGTCTCCATCTCCTATGCCTGGATCCAGAAACCCCTTCTATCCAATGCCCAACTCCCCCAGTGGCACCCTGAACCCCATCTCTGACCCTTTTGCCCTGGGCTGCCCCCTTCCTGTACCTTTGACCCCACCTCAGTGTCCCACTGACCTCTGGTCTTCTGGACCCCGCCCATTCTAGGCTGCTCCCATCTCAGGTCAATGGAGCAGGTGAGATTCCGCTAGGAATCCTTAACACCCCAGAGCCACTTCTTCGTCTGCAGAGGACATGGGGAGTATGGCAGGTCCCAGAGCTGGGTGCCCAGAATGCAGAGGCCCTTGTGAAGCTGTGGCCCCCAGGGGTGAGTCCTCACAGCTGAGAACACGTTCTGATCTTCCCAAGACATCTTGTATCAGTCACGACCATACTGGTTACTAGGGACAAACACAAAATGCACAAACCAGAAAGGCTAATTATCAATTCAAATAACTGGAAAGCAATAAAAGTAGTTTCAGGAAGGTCTGGATCTTGAGCTTCAACTTATGGAACCAGGCGAGGAGGTTCACCCCTGTAATCCTGCATTCTGGGAGGTCAACATGGGCAGATCCCTTGAGCTCAGGAGTTCGAGACAAGCCTGATCAAGAGCAAGATTCCTGTCTCTACTAAAAATAGAAAAACAGAGGCAGGAGAATTGCTTGAGCCCAGGAGTTCAAGGTTGCTGTGAGCTATGATGACCCATGGCACTCTATGCAGGGTGACAGTTAGACTCTCAAAAAAAGTAAAAAAAACTTATAAATTTCTCTCTCTCTTTTTTTTTTTTTGAGACAGAGTCTCATTATGTTGCCCTTGGTAGAGTGCCATGGCATCACAGCTCACAGCAACCTCAAACTACTCTTGGGCTTAAGCAATTCTCTTGCCTCAGCCTCCCAAAGTAGCTGGGACTACAGGTGCCCGCCACAATGCAGGGCTATTTTGTT